CTGAAAGCATACGGTTTGCAATTATGAGTATTACGTTTTCGTCATCCTCCCTCCAATCTTTGCTAAAACAACAGTGATAAAGTGGAGTGGATAAGAGGTGTATGTCTTTGTGCTTTGTGATAAATAAGAAAAATGAGTGAATGCGACATAATTGATTCAGAAAATTCATAATCACTTCATTAATATTACCATTCAAAACAACAATGTTAAAAAGCAAATAGCAATTAACAGGAAAACAAAATGCAAATGGTAGAAGCGCCCAAGGACTGCCAATGTTGAGGATGTCTGCCTGTCTGGACCACTGGCTTTTGGAAATGACTCTTGAAATCTTCGAGCTTAGACAGTTGAGAGGTTAACATGAACAACCAAACCTCCTTCTGGAAAGAAAATGTACCCTTTGTCAATCAATTGTTGCACTTTGTCTTGGAAGGCTTTGCAATCTTCGGTTGAGTGCCCCATGGATCCTCCATGATATCCATACTAAACATTGGGATTATACCCAAGAGGGTAAGGTTCTGGCACATGCTTAAGAGTCTTAGGCTCCACCAACGCGTTTTGAATCAAATGTGGCAGAAGCTGACTGTGTGACATAGGGATTGGATGAAGAGGAGAAATACTTCTTTCCAAGTTGTTACTAGGCCTATGCTGATTCTGATATCCTCGACCATGGGCTCATTGATTTGCATGAGGAGCGATCCATGGTTTATAGGCTGAAGCTTTAGACATGGATGGTTTTCCACGAGGATAACATGGCATTGGAAATGATGCCTGTTGAGCGGATGAGGGACCATAGAGTTTTGCTGGTTCACCATGATAATACTCAATGTTTGCTATGAATGTGTTGGTTTCATCCGTATCTTCCTCATGGAAATTGCTAAAAGATTCAGTCTCACTGGCCTGGCTGCTTGAGGCGTCCTGGATTTGTCTGTTTTTAAGGTAGATTTCGACGCGTTCTCCTACTATCACAAGATCAGAGAAACTTGATAGCGCACAACCAGCCATTCTCTCAAGGTAAGAGCCATGCAAGCTATTTATGAACATGTCAATCAATTCCCTGTCCGAGAGTGGTGGTTGCACTCTTGCTGCAAATTCTCTCCACTGCTGTGCATATTCCTTAAAAGATTCATTTCCATTCTGAGATAGGCTTTGCAACTGCATGCGGATGGGAGCCACATCCAGATTGTACTGGTAATGCTTAAGAAAAGCGCTAGATAAGTCCCTCCATGATTGGATATGGCTTCTTTCTAGGTTTATGTACCAATTTAATGATGCCCCACTCAAACTGTCTTGAAAACAATGAATCAACAACTTATCGTTATGAGTGTAGGAGGTCATTTTTCGGCAGAACATCACCAAATGACGCCTCGGGCAACTAAAGCCTATGTATTTCTCGAAGTTAGGTACCTTGAATTTCAGAGGAATCACCAGGTCTAGCACTAGACACATATCAACAACATCGAGGCGGGCATATCAAGCATTTTCATAGCTCAAAGTCTCTACTCAAGGGCATAAAGCGTTTCTTCCATGAGATCAGTCAGTGGCATCCTTTGGGATTGAGTAGGAACATTTACTTGCGGAGGATGGTCATCCGGCGGAAGATCATACAGTGGATTAGTTGACACAGTAAATCCTGGTGGGGACTCAACATCCTGGCGATTGTTCTTTGGCATAGCTACTTCAGCTGGCTTCGTCTAATTGGCCTTTCCAGGTATCTATGCTCCTCTTGCTTCAGATGCTTCATAGCTCTCACAAGTTCAACGGGAGTGTCGGGAATTCAACTGCGAGTTATGAACAGAGGATGGGTAAGCTCTTGGTATCTGGTCAGGGAAGAAAATGCAAAATGATGCAGATATTCTTATACAAATGCAATGCAATATGAAATGCAACAAACACGGGGTCAGAGTCACAGATCCTACAAGATAAACACAACGAGATATCTCTCACCTCGGGTGGACAATCTACTGGTTTATAAGAGGGTATCCCAAAGGCTTTAAACAAAGTCCTATGCACTAACCGTAAAAAATTTTCCATCATAACGACGATTCGTAAGACAGTAATCCCTTCAAAGGATGAACACAAAGTTATGTTTTAGTAACCTTCAAAATAAGGTTCTACAAAAAGGTCCTTAGAGTCACGGACTCCGAGGTCGGAAATAAAGACGCTGTTACGCTACTCGTAGGACATAATCATCCCATAAGGGTCTCATCTGAGCGGTGGAATTCAAACCAACTCAACGAGTCCTAAGTCTCGCAAATCAGAAAGAAACCACCTACTAATCTTAGTGTATACTAGAAAGCTCGGGTTGAAAACTTTTATCCTTACAAACCATCCCCAATAAACCCAACAGGTAAGAGGAACACAGTATAATAAACAATAAAAGCAAATAAATCACGGATGCGACAAACAAACTAGGTTTGGCTTGCTAGGATCCCCAACAGAGTCGCCAACTGTCGCTACTTAAAAAATGCAACGACGAGGAGGCGAGAAATAAGGGTTTGAAGTGGAATATGGGTTTTGATGCGGGTGGAAAATGGGTTTTTATGTGAGTGGAAAATGGGTTGCGGGATGGATTCGCGGAGGCAGAAGGGTTTCGGGTTGCTGTTTGGTTGATTGATGAAGACAGTTTTGTGATTTCAGACGAAAAGAGGAGATTTGAGAGTGGTTTGTGGCGGAGTGAGAGGTTGAATCGAAGAAGAGGGTGGTGGGTTGAAGAAGAACAAAGGTTATGTTGTTGAAGTTGGGTTTTGCAGAAAGAAAGAGTTTGTTGAGGTTGATGAAAAATGAAACGAGATTATGGACGGAAGGTGGGGAGAGATATCATGGCGGCGAAATGGAAACGGGTTTAGCGAAGAAGGTGATTTCGCGGATGGAGGAAGAAGGTGGGAGGTGAAAGTTCATCTTTTTGCAAAAGAAGATGGAGAAGGTGTTCCCCGCGACTAGGGTTTTCCCACCAGGAAGAAGATGATGAACAGGGTTTTATACCCTGAAAAATCAACACGTGTCCTACCTTTTTTATTAATCTTTTTCTTTTTGTTTTCTGTTAATTAATTCTAATATATTAAACTAATCCTATTTCTAATTTAATCTTATTCCAAACTAGTTAAATTCTAAACTTTAATAATTAAAAAATAATTCTAATCTAATCTATTAAATCTAAACTAAAACTCTAATATAGTTTAATTCTAATCTAAATCCTAAATAAAAACTAATCTAAACCAATTCTACCTAATCTATATAATTAATTCCTAATAAAAACCTAACTTCTAACAAAATTCTAATTCTAAAAATATTTCTAAAAAACTATTTATAAAAATCTAACTTTAACTCTAATAAAATCTATTCTAATAATTCTATCTTAATCTAAAATCTACTTAAAATTATAATTAATAAAAATCCCTTTCTAATAAAAATTAAAAATTTAGTTCTAGTATATCTAAATCTAATTGACTAATAATAATTAATTAAAATTCTATTTAAAAATCTAATTACAAAACTATTTCTAAAAAAATCTAATTTTTAATTTTAAATAAAAACTATTTTCTAAATAAAAACTTAAATTCTAACTAATTTCTAAATAAATAAATCTAATTTCTAATAAAACTTTAATAAATAAAATATTCTAAAATAAAATCCTATTTTAAAAACTAATTTCTAAATTAAAAATCTAAGTTCTAATTTCTAAATAAAATCTAAACTCTAAAATCTATCTAAATCCTAATTCTATTTTACCATTATATTATTAACAAACAAAAATTATATATGTACAAAATATAAATGTTTGAAAAGAAAAATGGTTTAGGAAACTAAAAATGAAATTAAAATTCACAAAAATAACAACCTTAGGCCACACGTCATGCTCTCATTGGACAAAATAACAGAGATTTGAAAAACGCCCAATCGGGGTGGACACGTGTCTAAATGGCATGAAACTCGATGATTTGATTCAAAGAAAACTCCTGATCCCGTATCTAAAAAACCAAGGCAAAATATGATCACGAACTATGGCCTAATGAAAATTTATATGAGTGCGAAGCAAAAGCCCGTCGAAGTTAGAAAACGCAAGGGTAAATTTTGGGGTGCAACACGTGAGACACTTTTAGTGAGGAGAGAAAGAGAGAGAATAAGAAAATAAAGATTGTATTGTTGAATTGAATGATAGAACTGAATTACAAACTGTATTTATATACACCTAACTTGCCTACTAAGTAAAGTAACAAACTCTAAACCCTAATTAACTTTGGACTTGGACTAGATAACTTAACTTGGATTATATCTAATATCTCAATAAAATTAAACTATATGTCGATAAAGGACTTTTAAATCATGATGAATTATCTAACAAAATAAATACATAAAATAACTTATTATTAGTTATGAAAGGATTTAATTTTTTTTTTAAAAATGAATAAAAAATGAATAGTTCAAAATTTGATATAAAAGAAAATATGATAGATACCTAACAAAATAAAAAAAGAAAAAAAGAAATATAAGTAAACATAAAAAATATTTAAAAAACAAAAAATAATAATTATGATTTATATTAAATACAAAAATTCAAATACAATTTAAAAATCGAAAACAATTACAATACATTATTGAAAACAATAGAAAAAAAATCACACATAGACAAACAAAGACACAAAATAAAATGATTTTAAAATACTAAAATTAAATTAAAAATATTTTAATAAATATAATAATTTTTTAAATATTAAAATTCATATTCTGTCTAATCTTCGCCAAAAACTGGCTGGATAACGCAGAGGAGTCGATGGTCGGCGGCCAGAAGCAGTGAGAAATTCCTTCATGTTTTACATTTTCATTCATTTTTTCGGATTTTCCTTCCCTTCATCCGGTGCAAGGATGCAATTCCAGCGCGATTTACGACCCTGACCCTCCATTCTGCACCGCGATTTCACTCTAAACCAAACATATTGTTACTCCTAACTTCAATTTTGTTCTCAGTCTTCACAGGTGATAGTGCTTAAGGGTCTTACAATATGATTCAAGTACTGAATCCCTTTAAATTTCTTCAATTCAAGACTTCTTCTTTCTTCCGAATCATTCCAAAACCCTTAATTTCCTTCCAACCTCAAAGTACAAGTAAGTTAAACATAGATTAAATCTACCCAATTTTTTTTTATTTTCCTTTGATTTTTTTTGCTGTTTCCATAATTGATTGCATAAATCTCTATTAGTATTGCATTCAATGTGAATTTTGAAATTGTTTATACTGAGATTCAAATTTCCTTGCAGGTTTAATGAAGAAACCTATAGTGATCAAAGTTAGGGCAAATGCTAGAAAAGAAAGTGCTAAAATTCGAAACAGAAAGATGCAGAAAAAGGTACCACAGATACAATTTAAATGTGATTTTTTTCCCTCTATCTGTTATTAGTAACCATTAATTTTGTCCTGCATTTATTTCTCTTCAGTTTAATGGCACAACAACGCATCCAAGACTTTCGGTATTTTGCTCGGATAAGCAATTGTATGCAATGCTCGTAGATGACCAAAATAAGAAGTGTTTATTCTATGGAAGTACGCTGCAGAAATCGTTCCGAGAAAATCCTTCGTGTAGCACTGCTGTAAGTAATCCACCTCATTTTTTAGACATTCTGTACGGGATAGTGAAAACAACTTTCGTTACATTATACTTTGGCTATAGACTTTTTTTCTGTAAGATTCTGTGAAACATTGTTTTAGGAAGCTGCTCAACGTGTTGGGGAGGCTCTTGTGAAAGCCTGTGTTGATCTCAACATAAATGAAATATCATTCTACGATCGCAATGGATTCGGTCGCGGAGAAAGGCTAAATGCCTTTGAGATTGCCATTTCCAATTATGGATTCTTGTCTAGATAGGTATGTAACTGATAGTACTGCTATCTTGACAAACACATATGAAGCATTCTTCTGTAGAAGTCGATGGGATGAGAATATATATTGCTTTATTCCATGTTGCAGTCTTGGTTGATAGATCATTAAAATAAGTACTTTGAGTAATCCAGGCTTCAAATGTTATGCAAGAATAACTTGATTCATTTAACGTTTTCTCTACAAAGTGCATTTAGATGACATGACAAATGGGATAAAATTGAAGGATATTTACTATGTAATTTCCCTTGTTTTTCTTGGATAGTTACTTAGTAGGTGTGAGAACTCTCGAGTCTAAAGACATGATATTTTAAGTTCCCGAATTTTGATGAGTCAAAACAATTATTGAATCTATGAGTTCTGTGAATGCATCTAATTAGTTGGTTGATAGAGAAAAAACCAACAATTGAAGAATCTTATAACTCTAAAGTTTGTAAGTAGACCAAGCAAAGTTTAGTGTAAATTGTAACAATTTGGATAAACTCCCAATGTTTGAAGTATATGTGCAGTGCTGCGCATGAAGAAATGTATGGTTTTGTCTGGTGGCACCTACTTGACGATGCAAAGCCGTGTTGACTCAAGGTCTGAGAGAGACATGAAACTAGCACCATGCAGTCTGTATAACACAAGGGCAATGAACGAATACAACCAATGGATATTATACCATGATTCACGAAATCGTCCAGGAAACTAGCATCATGTACAATCTGTATAACAAAAGGGAGGTTAAGAGAATTTACATCATGAATATTTGACTTGAAGTGTGAGAAACAGGAACATATGTATACTATTTGATAATTTGAAAATAGAAGCACTAGTGCTATTCTTATAGTTTGATCATTATAATTGACACTCAAGGAAAACAGAAAGAAAAAAAAACATGTTTTAATCATATGGTTATATGTAAGAGAAGTAGAGTATTTATTTATCCTAAAATGGTGTTATTTACAACATTTCTCCTCAAGCTATAAATAAAGGATTTTACAAACCTTCAAATGATTGTCTCTGTATTTCTTGTAGGCTGTCCTTGCAATGTCATGTGAGACCATGTGCCCAAGGAGGATAAGTCTCTTTTTCTTTGAGATTTTCTTATCCCACTCCTTGGATTATTAGCCACCATGTGCGATTCCTTAAATACCTTCAGGTTTTGGAGATATATCTTCGGACGTATCTTTTTTTACTTAACGTTAGATTTTTCCGGAGATACATCTCCGAAATCATCATAAAACACGTATTTTATTTATTTTTGAACTAGACCTCCAAAATTTACAATTTATTTGTAAATTTAGAGATCTGACTCAAAACGAATAAAATACGTGTTTTATGGTGATCCCGGAGATGTATCTTCGGAAAATTTAACGTTAAGTAAAAAAAGGTGCGCCCAAAGATATATCTCTGAAATCCGAGGGCATTTAAGAAAACGCGCATGGTGGCTAATAACCACAAGGGGTGGGATGAGAAAACCTCTTTCCTTTACCCTAGCATGTTGCAATGTTATCTAAATATTCTAATATAAGGAGATAAATTTAAAAAAAAGTTAAGTCTCACATTGTTTAGGTAAGATATCTTAGCTATCTCATTTCATTATATAAGGAAATTCTTTATTTCATTTCAAATAGACCAAAAATTCCTTTTGTTTATTTTTTTCTTCCTCAATCTCATAACTATGTCTTTCGAATTGTCGAAGTATCAACTTCTCCTCCTTTTTTTTTTCTACTCGTTAAAATTTTCAAATTTTTTTTTGAATTCTCTTTAGAGAGCTATGTTAATTTATCCTTATTTGATTTGAGAAATTACAAGAATTGATTTTTGGGTTCTCTCTGAAGAATTATTTGAATTTGTTTTGTTTGAGAAATTATTGAGTTATCAAATGATTATTGAATTCTCTTTTGAGAAATTATTACGACGGGTCGTTATACCGGATAATATGAGTGGTATTATACCATATTCGAAAGATTTTTGTACAATCATAGGGTGTAATTCTAGATAAGTTATCTACCGTGCAAGTATTATTCATACAATATAAAATTGAGCTGTTTTATCTTGGAGGCGGCGTGCTAGTTCGACTGCTTTGTATAATTTTGGGCAGGGCCGCAAAATGCCTTAAAAAGAGCGAGTTGTTTCGCGATTCATCCCGATAACTTCTGTGACTATTTTCAAAATTCAAAAATCAATAATTTTAAGATGATTTAAAAAACTATCATGGCTACCGAAGAAGTTATTGGTAACACTGCGACTCCTGTATTTGACAAACCATTCAAATTTGAGGTTATTCATTTCAAACGTTGTCAAACTAAAATGAAAATTTTCCTAACCTTAAAGAAGGTTGATAACGTTTTGACCAAGGACAATTTATTGCTCCTTTTGAATCAACCGAACAAACTAACGATAAGAAATACGGGAATTCAGATGAAACATTTAATAGTGTTAAATCGAATAGTTTACAACTCAAGAAAGAAATTACCATATGGAAAGAGAATGATAATCTCTACAAAATTGTATTTTGAATATACTCGCAGATGATGTGTATGATTATTATAGTAGATACGATACTGCAAATAGGATTGGGAAACTCTGAAAAAGAAGTATGATGCAGAAGCTACAACAAATAAGTATGTTGTTAGTCGCTACCTCAAGTATTAAATGGTAAAGATAAAAGGTATATGGAGACTCAATGCTACGAACTTCAAAAGATCTCTTATGAAATCATCATTAAGGATATATGTTAAGATGAACAATTGCAAATTTCTTTTATCATTTACAAACAACTCCCTAGTTTGAAAGTTTTGAAAAATTATGTTTTGCTATAAAATAAAAATATTTTTAATTGAGAGTCTGATTATTCGCCTTTTGAATTGAAGAAGAATCTTATAGACATGGTCAAAGATAAAAAAAGTCTTGGTTGTTTCAAACAACAAACATAAATTTGGTGTAGTTTCGAAGTCATTTGGCAAATAATTAAAGAATCATAACCGCAATGTTGTAAATCGAATAAAGAATGAGAACCTTTTAAGGGCCCCAATTACTCCAATTGGTAGGCAACAACCACCACCACAAAGAAATGACACTGGTGTTTTCTCCTGCTTCAATTGTAGAAAACCAGATCATATGATTAAGAAATATAAGATTGAGTTTAAACCTTATGCTTCCCCTAATGCACAAGTTAACCTGAGTGATGAGAAATTTATTGCTTTGATCACTGAAATCAACATGATTGGTGAATCTGATGATAGGTGGTTAGGAATTGGCTCCTCTCATCATGTATGTTATGATCATGTAATGTTTAAAACATACACAAATATGAAAGTGTCGTTGAGAATTGCCTACGCCGCTAATGTTGTCGGTACTAGAGACGTGAATCAGAGTCCACCTCTAAAAAGACTTTAGTTTTGAAGGAAGTCATGCATACTTCAGAGATTATAAAGAATCTTGATTTTAATAATCTTCTGAAAAAGGAAGGATTTAGTCAGTCTATTGTGGTTGATTTGTACGCAATCACTAAAAATAATTTTTTTTTTGTTGTAAAATTGTTATGTTTAAGACTTTTGTGGATGAAATATAAATTCAATTTGTTAAGAAAATTAAGAGATTTCATAGTGATAGGGGAACTAAACATAATTTGAGTTTATTTAATGAAATTTATAAATAACATTGAATTGTACATGAAACAACTACACCATATTCTCCTAAAATGAATGGTAAAACAAATATAAAGAATAGAACTCTTACTAAACTTGTTGCAATTATGTTGAATATTGGTGTTGTCTGATATATCTTGAATAGAGTTCCCAAGTTTAAAAATAAGATCTCTTCTTAGAAGATATTGAAGAAAAGACAACTAAATTTATCTTACTTTAGAACTTGGGACTGCCTGGCTTATGTCAGAATTAGGAATCCGAAGTGAGTCAAACTCGATAGTAGAGCCTATGAATGTTTATTCATTGGGAATGCATCAAACATTAAGGCATATAGGTTTTATGACCTAAATGCTAAAGTTATCATAGAATCAAATGATGTTGAATTCTATGAAGACAAATTCCCTTTCAAATCGAGAAATAGTAGGGCACAATGAATTGAATCATATTCTTGTGATAAGAAGTATCGAAAGCAACGACGAAGTAGAAACATAACTTCGACGAAGCAAACGAGTAAGAGTTGCTAAAGACTATGAGACCGATTATGCAGCCTATATAGTAGAAGAAGATCTAATAAATCTTCAAGAAGCCTTGTCATCTTTAAATGCAGATTTGTTGTAAAAAACTATTTGCGATGAGATAGATTTTCTAATATATATATATATATATATATAATATATATATATATATATATATATATATATATATATATATATATATATATATATATATATATATATATATATATATATATATATATATATATATATATATATATACACACACGACTTCAAGCCTTAACAAATCACCAAAATATTTTTATTTATGAACCTTTCAAATTAACGTTACTAACATTTCAGGGGAAATTTGTGGTTGCCAGAACAGAGTTGTTCTGGACTGGGCCTAGGTTTAGCCCATGATCAGTGGGCCCAAACCCCATTGGAATTGGTCCCAGTAAGGCCACACCAACGAACGGAGACAGCGGAAACAACCCCTTCCGAGCAGGCTAAAGGTCATCTGCTGTCGAGCAGGATCCTCGCTCTCGGCCAATCCACCCTTTCCTCACCACCGTCGGTCAGGACCATCGCTTCCGACCAGGCGGCCACCTCTGCCCGGGGGAACCCCCAACGATCCCCCATGTTCTCCACGTGCCCCTCACGCAGGGACACGTCACAAGGTAACAACCCACTTCCGGAAGTTCCGGTTTTCCTCCTCCCGGATAATGCGAAGCAATTACACTAGGGCAAGGACCACGTGCCGGTCCTCACGATGTCACATCAGTCCTAGCAGTTGCCATCATTGGGCCTGGCAGCCCAGCTCAGTGTTAGGTAACCGTTGGCCCCGCGCTGGGGG